GTGTTTCTGGATCAGGTGTTTTCCTTTTGTATTACACATCGTCCGTAGATTCGACCCCTCGTCCCGCGTTCGGAGAAAACTTTTTACGCCTTTGCCCTTTTGTGATTACCCGACAAGAGGTGTTATTCGGGTCATATTGGGGTGTTACCGCGGTTTCGTGACAATAGTGTTATTGTCATTTACGCAGTGTTATTGGTTATTCTGCGATGTTATTCACAGTGTTATTGTCATTTCCTTGGTGTTATTGGTTATTATGCAGGGTTATTGTCATTTTCGCGGTGTTATTGGTTATTACGTGATGTTATTGGTTATTTCGTGGTGTTATTGGTTATATTGCGGTGTTATTTGCAGTGTTATTTCCATTTCCTTGGTGTTATTGATTATTCCGCGATGTTATTGCCATTTCTGTGGTTTTATTGTCATTTCCACACTGTTATTCCGCTATGTTATTGGTTATATCGTGATGTTATTGTAATTTTCACGGTGTTATTCGCGGTGTTATTGCCATTTCTGCGGTGTATATTAAATTTATATTAATTTATTTAATATATAATTTATATATTAAATAGTTATTATTATATAATTTTTATTTAAGAAATATTGTTTTTAATATAATGTATATAACATATATAATATGACTTTTTATAATAGTATTACTTATAAATATATTTTTAAATAAATTTATAATTGTTATATATTTAAATTATTATTATGTTTAAAATTATTAAATATAATATTAAATTATATAATATTATGTAATGCATATTATATAATTAATTTTAAGTGATGTGTGTATCTTCTTTTTTTCATTGTTCTGAAGTGATTTTTTGTGTCTCAAGTATTGAATATATTGTTATAACAGTTTTGTTGTAAATAACATTACTGTTTAGGGACAGAATGATCATTTATCCATAAACAACTTCAAATCAGTTTTTTTTCAAATGCACAAACCAAAGAAACAGTCAGTTTGTCAGGATCAGCTGTTAATCACCAACTTATCTGGATCATGTATTTATCAGCAGATTATCAATAATTTGCAGTTGCCCCAAACAAACTTCTTCGTTTGGGGTAGCTACAGCTTATTAAGAAGTTGTTGTGAAGCTGCTGAAAAATAATCTGATATTGCAAAAAGCTGTTGAGGGTATTACAAGCTTTTTTTTTCTTGAAAAAGTCATACCGCAGCTAGAAAACTCTTACCGCACTTGCCAGGAGAGGTGGGAAAACGCTGGTTTTAGCGGTAACTTTTCGAAAAAGTTACCAAACACAGTTTACCCAAACAGTCAAAACAATGGTATAGTGTCGAACCGCCGCCGCACCGCTGCGCCAAATGGAGCCTTAATGTACATAATTTTTTTAAAATATAATTATTTGAAAATAGATATATTTATACATCAAACAATTAAATTAACAAGAATACAAAATTTTTCTCTATTTATTTGTGTGACGAAGAAAGAAAGCAATTAAATCTTCAAACCTCACATAATTAGAGGGTCCGAGTACAAATAATGAAGTTTAAGGGTCTGTTTGGGGCAACTGCAGTTTATCCAGCTTATCCTAATAATCTGCTGATCAACAGTTGATCAACAGTTTATCCACAGTTTATCCTGATAAACTGACTAGTTGTTTGGTTTGTACGTTTCGAAAACAACTGATTCTGGATAAATGATCATTCTGCCCTTGTTCTGGATAAGTTGTTTGACTTGTGCGTTTGAAAAATAGCTGATTTGCAGATTTTTGTGGATAAAGGCGCAGCGTTGTTATTTACACTAGAACTTTAACGACTACGCATTTGACAGTTCAAAACAAAAAAAAATATTTTATAACAATACAAAATTAATATAATTTCAATAATTTTATTTAATTATCAAAAATAAGTCAAATTTATTCTTACTGACACATAGAAATAACTGCAAAAACTAATAAAAGACTAATTATTTATCAAGACATCTGGAAATTTTCATAAAGATTACTATTTCTTAAACATTGCCTTTACTTCCATCCCAATATGGAGCTACATACGATCTGCCCCACCATAGAACACAATATTATATTACATGCTTAATGAAAATGATCAGTGGTCAATTAAGCACTTCTCAAACTACCACGATATGGAAGCAACAGTTATCGAGAACAAAGTTCTATGACCCTCCAGGCTGCTCCACACTTGGCAGGTAATGAAAAGCATCGACTATAGTGAAAGTAAAGCATTATTTTCTATATTGTTTTGCCAAGTTGAGAACAATGATAAGAGTTCATTCAAGAAAGCTTTACAGTACATAGTTTGTTGAATAAGTTCCACAAAGTGATAATGAGAATATAACAAATGCAAGCTAAATTTTCATCGATGACATTTACTTTACCAGAATGGTATTAGAACATAAGTAATTAAGTATCAATTAACATGACAAGGAAAAATAGTGACACAAATGCTCAATAATTATAAATCAATCCAATAATAAGTGCATAGGCATCACACTGAAACAAAGGATTCAATTCAGTAATTGCTAGCTTGGCTTGTGTTGATGTAAAATTACTAATATTTGAGATTTAAAACTGTTCTAACTATATATAGGGTTTAGTTAGGAATGAGAACAATCACGGCGACGCGAAGATGAAAATAATAGGAGAAAAGAGGATCTCCCTGTTTGATGCCCCGAGAAACAGTGAAGAAACCAAAAAACATCTCCCATTATAAGAAATTCTCCATTTCTCGCAAATGTTTATAAAAGAAATGCCATTAACAACTTTACAAACTACAAAGAAACTTCACAATTTTATGACTGGAGCTTTCAAGCTGGATAAACAACTGCAATCCAGATGCAATACATACCAAATAACAAAGAAAGAAACCCAAAGCTGTACAAAGCACCCAAACTTTAATATTAGCCAATCTCTTTGCATGCAGTAGCTTTGCAGGTTGTAAGGGCAAAAACCAAAAAGAAACCGTCATTTATTCACTTGCTTATTAGCCTTCATCTCAGCAACAGCTGATTTGGCAAATGATTTCGCCAAAGTCTTCGATTTAACAGAATTCTTAGGATTGAGTGCTTTACGAATCTAAAGACAGCCAAAGCAGTTCCTAATGCATGCCCTGCAGCGCCAAGCCCTTCATGCGTTATGTCCGCAGCTTGTTCTCCATATCCAACAGTACCAAATCAGCCAGCTAAAAAGTAATTTTCAAATAAGACTGCTATTTCTGAAGTTCAATGATACAAAAATGTGGGGCATTTACAAACATATCACACAATTTTTATGTATTTACGTATCTCACACCTAAACTTTCATATTTACACTCACAACATTATGGTGCTTTAAAACTGTGCTTCAAAACGTGTATTTCACTTTAAAAAATATGTAAACATAAAAGTTTAGGGGTGAGTTACGTAAAACATAAGAGTCGAATGTATAAGTTTCGATACAAAAATTTCAATTATCTCAAAATAATTGGAGTATTATCAAATGTAATTGCTAAAGAAATACTAGATAAAATATAGTTTCTTAAGAAAACCTATAATACTTTAATGGTGTAAAAAAATTATGCAAGGAAAGTTGTAATTAATTAACATTGCTAATTTCAAGTGGAAAACAAAGGCATACCTGTGGGACACAAGCCCTATTGTCAAAACTGATGATGTCTGCAACACATTCCTACCAATCACTTCAACGACATCAGAAACCTTACCTGAATAGGTAGAGAGAATCAACACTTAAGATAATATTTTAATTTTAATACTTAAAAAAAACTAGATCAAAATCCAAAAGAAAGCCGTAATACAAAAGGCCAATGGCACTAAAAATGAAATATTTGGTATAAAGTCTGATTACTTGAAAGAAAAGGTGCCAAGAGGCATTAATAACAAAATTTGTGCAACATGAGCAAGCTCAGGGACTTCAAAAATATAGAAAGGGTTCTCAAAATATAGGATTCTCCTATTGCCCAATTTGAATAAAACATATTTGGTGCGAAAACATCAACTCTGCAGCACTAAGTTTCATAAGATATATATACATTCCACTGCATTCTTATGTATTTACATATCTAGCACATGAACTTCAACATAAATGCCATTTTACCTATTAAATGAAAAGGTGAATTATACTTTTTAGTCGCTTAAATGGTGGCATTTTTTATGCAACTTGTGATATTTGGATGCTATAAATGTAAAGAGCTATGTAGGTGTTAGATATATAAATGCATGAGCTTTGTGTGATATGTATGTAAATGCTCGAAAATAAAAATAAAAACAAAAACAAAAACAAAGAGATTGATGTCTCCGGCTATCATTTTCGTTTGGTTTCCTCATTCAACCCTCAAAAACCCAGTGGAGAGGTTAGTGAACTAAAAAAATGGCCAATCTCCCCGGGAAAAAGAACCTAATTTTGTAAAAAATTCTCTTTTCAATAACAACAGAAAGTGTCAAAACTCAACCGCAGCAAAATCAAATAAAAGAAGGTTATGCAAAATGGCCACCCGAAACTTTCTATTTAGAAATCAACCATCCTTTTTCATCCATTTCTCATATTTTCACTCGAATATTTTTTTTTAATAAAAAAAAAAAATTTAAAAGAGGGAACCTTAAGTCTCCGTCCCTCGTTCCAAATCCAAACTAGCCATGGACTTCAGTCCTGCTCGCCGGAGCCATGATCTACTTCAAAACGCTCAGCGCCGGCAGCGTGGGCATCTTTAAGTCATCGGAAATACTTGACCTTCAACTCCACGCGCCGCGCTTCATCGTTTTGATTGTCTCTGTTCTACCGAAAAGCATTTATGAATCCTTTAAGGTATCGACTCAGTAGGGGTACTTGCTCCCGAGAAGCGAAGGGTTCAGAGGTGGAGAAGGACAGTAAGGTACAGAGAAACGTTGGCGATGAAGACGATCAAGGTAGGAAAGGAGAATTTATGGAATTCATGTGCCGAGACAGAAGTACATTCTTGTTTCAAAGCCAGGGCTTCTCCGAGCTATTCTGGAGATGTTTGAAGTGA